TTGATTTTTGTGAAAGAGCCACACTTATCTTTGTTAGTTTGCTTGATCCAGGGCTAACATGACCTCCTGTATATGGCTGGCAGCTGTAAAGAGGCTGGCCTTACTGTCCTGTAATTTGAAACTGTGTTCGATTGTTGAGTAAAACCCCAGAGTACCTGTGACCATTAGACCGGAGGCTCTTCAATTTCTCCTCAGAGAGGTTGATAGACCTGGAAAGAAAATGTGCTTGTTGGGCAGTTTGTTCTGTTTTCTCATTCTTCAAACAATCCTTTTTTTAAATTAATGAAATAATTAAATGTAAAATACAGCAATTAATAAAATAACGAAGCCTAGAACCAGGTATATCTATAACAGCCACATTTTTCAACTGAGACAAACTAAGAGAAAAGGTTGGACTCAGTTGAATACTAATATGTGTCAGAAGAATTATGTTTTGACAGATTTCTTTATTGAGAAAGTTTGGACAGCATTTGGTATGTTCTTCATGCAAGATGTTTCGTTGACTTTACACTCAAAGCTCTTATCTCAAACACTTAATTCTTATAATCTATATTTAACTCTTATGCTGCTCCATCTATCTTCGGCCAGAAGTTTGGTGGAGACAGACAGAGGAGAGAGAGCCTTGGTGTTAAGTGTTGGCTCTGGCCCAGGCTCTTGCATAACTCACTGCTAATTAGGATTTAACTGCTGCCAAGTCAGAGTCATTGCTTCGGCTAAATGGTGAGCTGTGTCGCTGTTGGCAGAACATCAGAGTGGACTGTGGGGAACGTGAAGAAGAAAGGAATAGCACAGAAACAGACAAAAGGGAACTTCACGGCCACTTGTGTGTGACGGCCGAACGCTGGCAAGATCATTTGATTAGGTTAGGATTATTGTTATGCTTTCTCATAGTGGATAAAGAAGTGAAACAAAGGCAGAGAACTGACAGCTGTTTGAAAACACTTATGTACGATGTATGGGACTGAGTGTTTCTTGTGCTTTTGCTCTTCGTGCACCATCTCATCTTCCTCTTCTCCTCCCTCAACCCCATTGATCTTCACACTGCATCCATTTCTTTCCTCCTCTGTACCTATTGACATTATGCAGCTCCACATCTTTACCCATATCTGCGGTTGTTTTACAACTTTCGCTAAAAAGCCAGCAGGGTGAGATGGTGTAAACAGAGGTAAATAACAAAACTTATTTTCATTCCCTGCTGGGATTAAACTTTGTTTTTATTAGTTTGCTGTGAATAAGCTGACTTGGATAATGTCATCGATTAATGGGAACACACTTTTACAAACCTGAGAGGATCAGATGCTGTGCATGTATTGCCCCCTTCAAGGATTGCCACTAGCGACTGAAAGGATGGCATGATAAAGTGGCCAGAAGTATCATACGGATATATTTAATTATTTTGTGCTGCCCCTTGGAGAAGATGGGGCCGTTATGAAAAATCACTGAAGCCTTCTAGAACCTTCACAGTGGATAAGTGGGCCATGCCTGCTTTTCCTGATCCCTGTAATTCCTTTACATTTCCTCCAGATCCTTGGGTTTTTTTCCCTTTTCCTCCCCTCCCACTTGACTTACACCTCCTTCTCCTCCGCTTCCTTCCCTCTTTTTTTCCACTCGTCTTGTTAGTAGCGGTCATGCACACTTGCCTCCCTGATTAACTAACAACCCAAAGGATGTTGCTCAGAATAATGTCTCCTCTCCCTGTGAGAGGCATCGATTTGCTGAGAGCTAACTGCCCGAAACGTATATTTTCGAGAGAAGAATCTTTGGCTTGATGACCTTGTGTATAAAAAACTATACTTAGGTTCTTTTTTATGACATGCTAAAGTTGGGGGAGACATGATGTGAATGAAAGTAGAAACACGCCCAAGGTGGTGATGTAGCAGAGGAGAAATAACTGTTTCCTAAATGAGTATCTCGATGACAGACAGAGAGAGGGGACATCTGTTCTCTATGGCACTGAACTCTCACACACAAACACACACAKACACACACAAACACACACACACACACACACACACACAGACACACACACACACACACACACACACAAACAGCTATGTTTGAATATAAGTACTGTATGTCTAGCTGTGAACATGTGTGTGTGCACAAACTGCTTCACTGAGTAAAGTGTTGATTAACATTCTAGCTGAGTCACTTCATTGCTTCTGAATCCAGAGATTCAGATAAATTATTGATTACATAGCACAGAAGATTTGGAATCCTATGTGTGCTTGAGAAGTGATATCACAGTTTATCTGATGAAACCTACAAAACTAGGTTAAACCCACAACAGTTTACGGGTCAGTGCTTCTCAGGCAGCGGGTTTCGTCTCTGAACTCTTATGAATCAGAGCCTCTCCTGGAATGTAGACGGTCACACACAGAGGCTTTATGCATCTACGAGCCAATTATCACAGGTCACAACCTACCATGTTACTGCATGTTACACACAGAGCATGTGGGGTTGAAGGTAGAAAGAAATGTGGGGAGGAAATACTGCTAAACTTCAAAGATTATATACCGTCATTTTTTCGACAGTATATTGGCTTGGCTCCTGTAGCAAATGGGAAATCCTGGAGAAGGGTGTCCTTGAGCAATAAGCATTAAAAGATTTGTCTGCATCTTTATGTTATCTGTGGTTTATCATGTATGTTCTTTCAATTTCAGAGATCTCTGTCTGTGTGTATGTGGAACACATGTGTATGTGAACCATCTTGTCGTCATCACACTTGGCATGTGCATTGTTAAGGGTTGAAGGAAGTGCAGTGTTGAATTTGCTGCGATCTTGACAGACAATATGTTCAATATTAATAACCTTTGGATAAACAGGCGACCAGCACTCTGTAGCTATGGCAGCTGGGACCCAACGTTACATGACTTTGTTGTTTACGACAACAGCAACAACAGTTGGGGAATCTTTTTTTTTGTACTGAGTCGAGCTTCACTGAACTTTGAATAAACGGGAATTCTCTTTGTGCAGCAGCGGTGGTACAGCTTCAGGGTTCTACCAACTGAATTCAGCCACTGCACTATAGTCATCCAGAAAGAAGAGATCTTCACCAATCTAATGGTCTCAAGCCAAAGAATTGATGCCTGTGCAAGTAAAGCATGACTTTTGAGGTTTGTTATATGCACAAAGCAGAATGCGACCCGATATGGCTTTGTTATTAAATATTTGCAAATCTGACAAGCTTACGAGCCTCTTACAGCTTAATTTGACAAAAATGGACAGAAGAAAATAGGCTAAAGCATCATGACATGACATGCAGAAGAGTGAGAAGTGGCACCCTGTTTTGATTTGCCTGTATCTGGTTCTTGAGTATATATGACATCAACCACACTCTCCTCTTGGTTCCATTTCTGGACAGTCCAGATGGGTCAGAGTTCTCCAGAGACTCTGTGTGTGGGAGACAGAGAGCGAGCTCGTACGTGAGAGAAAAGACAATCGAGAGGGTTAGAGAAGAGAGGGAGACTCTGGGTCACGGTGTCTGAGTTAAAGACACAGAGACAGCATATGTGTGTGTGTTTCGAGTGTGCATTTATTAAGTATTCATCAGTACCCGGCAAAATGCTGTGTCACTCAATTTCTGGCACTGTCACATAGAAAAGTGTTACCAGAATAAATTAAGACAAAGCAGCCAATAAGTCTGACTCCCAAGGATGTGGTGAGAGACAGTGAGACGGGAAGAAAGAAAGAGATCCGTGTCAAATGAATTTAGAATCTGTCAGTCGCAGAGAAAAGGGACATCAGGAGAAAAAGATTGAGATGACAAAGACAAAGAACGAGCGGGGCGATGAAAGCTCGGTTTATTTCAAACCAAGTTCCAGCTTGCCCTCAAATCTCCTGTTACTATGGTGATTTAACTGCCGATATGGTGTCCCCCGAGACTCTTTCCTGAAAACATGGGGGTGAGAGAGAGAGAAAGAGAGACAAAAAGAGAGAAACACAAGGACGGACAGAAGGGCAAAATAGCGGGTGGGACAGAGGACTGCTCTGCTACAAATGTACAGTCCCCGTTTACCCCGTTCATGTAACCACTGTGCATCCAGCCAGCGTCACTGGAGCCTTCAGATGGTTGTTACTGAACGTTTTAATTGTATAACAAACCAAACCTCTACAAAATGCCATAATTGTGCTATAATTCATACAGTAATATAATTCCATCTGGACTATCACTCAGTTAGATGCTGTTTTTTATGGGCCTGAGCTTATTTAGCTAAAAAATAATCAAGCCTTTTAGTCTGTATAGAACAACAACATCTAAAACCTCAATGCAAATGAAAATGTGAATGTGATGAAGAAATATACAGAATTAAAGAAGCACCAATATTTTCATTTGAAAGATGTATCAATGACTGTCTAATTTGTAAGGTGCTGTGATTGAGAATTATCACACAACTCTTCTGCAGTTTTCCTCAGCTCCACAGAGTATTATTTAAACTCATCCCTCATTATTTTGGTTTAACTGGCTGCAACAACATCGTGGTTCACCACTGTAATCAGCCTTGTTGTTTACGGATGCAATAGGCAGCTATTTAAAAAGAGAAAGTTAAAATATAGTGTTTAGGTAGCAGCTGCAGAGCCTGACAGTGTCTTCATTAGTTGGTGGAGACCAAATTAGAGCTACAGCGAGTGAATATTGGACTTGCATGTCTTTGGGCTTTGAACAATGAAGAATGAATGGGGGAAGATCTCCTACCTGTACACTGTTTGAGAGTTTAACTGTCTTCCTTTATAAGCATGTGTTATATATATATATACAGTATATACACACATACACACACATATACACACATACAAACACACACTATTATACTATTCAATACTATTTTCATCTGTTAAAAAATACTCAAATCTATATTACTGTATCTTGATAACCATACTCGCAGAAACTGTTTTCTCTACACAATATATTGTCAAACCTTCCTTTGTATATATGTCATGTTGTTTCTCATCAGTTACTGTTATAACTAACAGATCTCTCTCTCTGTGTCTCTCTACAGCTGTATCATTCATGAGACACAGCGCGTCAGCCTTTGGATTTGCCGTGAGTTCCACCTTCTTTCTTCCCTCCATTTCCATTGATCAATTAGTCATAACTTGCGTCCCGGTGATTTATTAATGAATTCCACTATCCAAAGTGTTATTGGTCTCTTTGTCTCCAAGGTAACAGGGCAGAGATTGTGCGTAGAGCTCAGGTTGAATGTCAAACTGCTGTTTGTGTTTCCTAAAGAGATTTGCTGCCCTTTACCAAAATAAAGCCTTTCACCACCTCTTTCAGGAAGTGACTTGAGAGTGTTAAAGAAATAATAAGAGAAAATCATCCACACCCAGGGCTAGTGAGAAAAATGTGATTAGCATAACGTGATTGAAAAATAATGAACTGTAATCTGCAGTGCAAGCTATCTCTTTATTAAAGAGCAGATTTTAATTAGAAAGTGCTTGGCTGTTTATGTTGGTTTTAATAAAGTAGCAATAATACAGTGCAGAGGGGTGTGATCACAGCAACTCATAGGTATCTTTGTACAATAATGTTGAAAATTGGCTTTTATGGGTACATTATGTGATGATGAAGATAATGATAAGGCTGTTTTTTTGTTTTTTTTAATTTTGTTCTCTTTGAGCAAAGATACTGTTAAATGTACTTTTTAAGCAGCAATTATGTATTTATTTCCATTTCTTTATTAAAGAGCTTGGTCTTTCATTTTGAGAGCAGAATGTGTTGATATTTCTTTTAGGAATTGTCCCTCCATTGTGGGTGTGGTAGCTAAGTGTGTGGATTTAGCCATGGAGGAGCAACCACCTAGTATATGGGACCCTAAAAAAAGTAAAGCCAAAGCGCCCACAGTGAATTGTGTAAAGTGATTTCATGTGTCATTTGGCGAATATTGACAAGCACAAAAGAAATCGAGGGCTGAAGCTGGAGCATAGGAAATCTGTCAACAAAATATCTGAGTGCAAGCCCACAGTTTGAGCACAAGCAGAGCAAATCTAAGCACAAGCAGAGACTATTTTATGGCAGGCACAGGTTTTGAGTGAAAGCATTCCAAAATCTGGGTCAAATCAGTAAGTCTTTCTCTCTCACTAAAAGACCATGCTCTTGATAAAGATGGGACATTTTCAAAACCATATTGAGTGTTATTGAAAAAAAGTCGTGTTCCTCCTATGCAAAGATGTTAACTTACTGTGATGCTTTTAGCTTCCCTCTTTTCCCCTTAGTTACTTGATTTCTTCTTCTTTTGTAGTTCGATGCCTCACTGGACGTCATGTCATCATTCATTGTCCTCTGGCGCTACAGCAATGCAGCAGCAGTGCACTCTGCACACAGAGAGTACATGTGAGTACAGAACACAGCACTGAACTTGATGAATGTTAATGAGGTTAATGATGAATCTGTTAAGGTTCGGGACTGACTGGACTATGAGTGCAAACCAGGAAGCAAAGACAGGATGAGGTTTTAAGGTGTTTCATATAAAACAATGGGATCCAAACGGAGGCAGGTAGGGAGGCAGGTGAACCTTAACACTGGGAGAACAGGCTCTAAACTAGGGCAGAAGGAGAATACCAAACCTCAGAATGCAGAGACAGTGGCTGTCTTAAGGGGTAAACACGTTTTTAATCGTTGCTTCAGTTTCTAAGAGTAGATTGAGGCAAAGCAGCTCAGGTGTTAAGGTGAGTTGGAGGAGGTAGCAGGAAGCCATGTACAGCCAGACACACAAGGACCAAAGGGGAACAAACAACACCCAAGAAGAAAGGGGAGATAGGGCAGGAAACAAAAGTGAAACTAGGAAACCAAATCTGCTTTAATGGGAAAGTTCTGATTTTCACAGTTTGTATTTTTCTCTTCACCAATCTATCAGTTACTTCTTGTATGTTTTGCCTACAAAATGATTCAAGGTCCAAATCTTTTTTTCAAAGACCATGAAACAACAAGGGTTGATTAAATTGATAATGATGTGAATGTCGCATCTGCTGCAGGTGTTGATGATAAATAGATGTGAGGACTCTCCTGGAGGAGTGTGCATCGTTCAATTCCCTCAATTGTTGTTTTGATGATGGTGACTTAATTTCACTTTATGTTTTCATATCAAGAAATGCTGGATGTGTTACTGGCATTTATACACTTCAAGTTATTTACCAAGCCCTGTCGATTTAGTCTTTAGTCTTTTCAGTTGTTTAAGGCAAATACCCGGAGCTCAGAAAGAAAGTTAACAAGCGTGTCTGTTTATTAATTTCTAATTGAACTGAGTAACTGTTATGTCAGTGTACATCTCTGCTTAACACTCAGCTTCATCGATCAGTTGTCAGGCCGGCTGCAGCTTTGGAGAGTTCATCAAGCGGCTGTCAGGTAGCTCAGAGCCTCATTCGACTTACTACAGCACCTCGGCTTGTGTCACAGATGATGAAAGATCAAGCTGCCACTCTACCATCCATTAACACACACCGACTCTCTCTCTCTTTCACAAACACACACACACACACACAAATATCCACATGTGCTGTATTTACACAAAAAAGCAGACACATATTACATTAAATGTCAGGTTGTTACACAGACACACACACTACACATATTATATATACATACAAGGACTGAGGTCATCAATCTCCCACATATCACTCATCTGTTGAAAACATAAAGAAACCAGAGGTTGGTAGATGTCAAAATTAGAAGGATTGCATGAGAGTGGAAACCTTCTAGTTTATTTAAATTTGCCCCGCTACAGTTTCATAATGAACCAAAATATTTAAACACTTCTCTTAACATCATAAGTTATCCAAAACTTGGTGTTTTGCTCCATTACTGCATAATAAACCAGTGTGCAGGGCTGTGCATTTACTGTGCTATTTGCACACTTACATTATTGTCCACAAATGTTTTACTGCCCACTCAGACCTCATAGATTCAGCTGCAGTTGTGCACATACTCACAAGTGGCACGCAATGCAGTTCTCCCTTTCATGCGAGAACTTCTCTTTCACTATTTAGTCTACCTGTCACAGTGTTGTGCGTGAGAGCGACGTGCATGTGCAGTGCACTGGAGGTAATGAGACCAAATGATATTGTATTAAGTTATAGTACAAAGGAAGACAAATTACTCAGCAGATGTAGATGCAAAAGAGACAGAGAGATATTTACACCCATTTGAGAAAGTTGGGGCGAGCAGATGAAGAGATATGATGTTGTTGGGTGGAAAGTAAAGGGATATGTCTTTTTCCCATTATAATTTTAACTATGTGGTCTGCAGGAGTCTCCCCGTTCTTTTTTTCTTAATGCATGCATGCTTTTAGCACTTCAGAACAACAACAACAATTTCATTTGTCTTTCTAAAACTCAGTTAAAACGAAATTAAAGTGATTTTTCAAACAAGAAGAGAAGCATATTTTAGTCCAAAAAGTTGCCTTTTTCTCTCAGTGAATTTCAACAGTTTTACTAAAACGATCAGAACCAGGGGAAGAAAGAGAGAAACATCTCATCGCTGCACTTGTCAAGAAACAGAGTCTCTGTTCTGTGGTGAGATAGATGAGAGAGGGATGTTGTAATTTGGGCTCAGCAGATGTGTCAGAGGTAGAGAGAGTTTAAATGATGGAGAAAAGGACAAGGATTAAATATCCATAACTTATTCCATTGCTATAAGAACAAGAGAGTGTGCATATGAAAGCAACTTGTAGCCCCACACCCATGAACCATTCACCTTACTTTCCCATATTCATAAACAAACACCCTCATGTGTTCTGACAAAAGTCTGCAAAGTTTTTTCCAGAAGTACACAGTCCCCCAGACTGGGAGTAGCCATACCATCCATTCATCCATCTTATATATAGATACTGCTTATCCTTTGCGAGAGGATCTGTAGCCAAGAGGTCGGGTACACTCTTGTCAGCGTATAACAAGGGACAAAAAACCTTCACACTCACACCCATTGTCAATTTATCACCTCCAATGTATTTAATACCCAATCTACGTGTGTTTGGACTTTGGGAGGGAGCCAGAGTATCTGGAGAAAACCCATTCTGACAGGGGGAGAACATGCAGACACAGAAGGACCTCAGCTGAACCGAGATTTGAACCGGGCACTTTCTATCTATCCTGCACAAGTTGCCAGCATATCACACTATGATATGAGCTATAGACAATTTAAAGTCTCCAATTAACCTAAACCCATTCTCTGCATCTTTGCACTACGGGAGGACACTGGGAAGAAAACACAAACATGCAGACATGGGAAGAACATGCAAACTACACACAGAGATTACAACCGAGAACCTTTGGTGAGGAGACAGTGCTGCACCACCTCTTTCACCCAACTTCAAATCCTTAAGTCAATTGAAGGGAAACCTTTTCAGTATAACTGATTATACCAATGCTCACATTTTTATTAAGATTTTTGTAAGGTTACACCGGCTTTATTACAAGCTGAGTGAAGATGGGGTAATAACAGTGAATTTCTTTTTTTGTAATCGTTACTTTAATATTTCATGGATGCAGAGCAAAATCCTCCCAGAGTTTTCCGCTTTTCCAAAGTCCACTGACAGTCTCATATATAGTTCCTTTTATATCAGGTTTCTATGTATGAGCCGTTTTGGGAATTTTTTAAGATTGAAAAATGATACTGATTCAAATGAGGGAGAAAGTTTCACTGTGATCGTGTCAAAATCTTTAAGTTGCTGCTTGGCTCAACTTTGTGTAACAAACTAACGCCTGACACTTGCCCTGTCTGTCTGTTACAGAGCATGTGTAGTTCTTGGGGTCGTGTTTGTTCTCTCATCCTTGTGCATCATTGGAAAGGCCATCCATAATCTGGCAACCAGGATGCTCCCAGAAGTGGTAAGAACACACACACACACACACACAATAATGAACAGTCAGTTTTACACTGTAGTGTAATTATATAGGTTAATTGTGAGTGGAAAGTAATGCAAATGCCATGAGCATGATGCTCCATGGTGCCGCTACATGATATATTAATTTCTCATTCAAAATTCAAAGCCATAAGTACTGTAGAGTGCACTATTAAGTGATTCCAGAAACAGCCCGAGATATTTTAAGAATTGTCTAAATATTGAGCAATACCTCGGTGAGCGAGTTGTGGTGTGTCGTGGAGGGACTGACTGAGGGCATTTTCACACCTGAAAGTCCAGAACATGGTCCGAACCAAGCTTCATGTGTTTGTGACATTGTGTACATTTGATTCGGTTAATTTTGGTTTCACATGGCATATTGGGGAGCTAATAAAAGATGCAAGTATGACATACGTATGATTTGTCATCATCCTCTACATGGGCTGCATCTACCTATACCATTGATTGATTTATAGACCGTGTTGTCAATGTGGCTATTGTATTTGCTAACTTTTTTGAATAAAGTCACTAGAAAGAAAGCAGTCGTTCCAATTGAATAGAGGAAATCATATAAAACACAAACACCAATGCAGGTGTGTTTGAGTTCCCGGCAGCCCGCACACCACATACACACATATATAGAAACATTAAAAAGATGAATATGAGCAATAACCTTGAGTTTCACACTTAGTTTGAATCATGGCATACACATACAGCACATGTACACACAGGCAAACACACACACACACCATTTATCCTTGTGAGCTCTGTGTCTTTTTTTAGCACTCTGCCGTTGCTTTTTAGACGTCAGAGTTTTTGTCTCCCTCCACCTGACTTGTTTTCCTTTTTTCCTCTTTCTCACACACACACACACACACACACACACACACACACACACACAGGTGTTAAGTAAATGAAAATAGTCTCTTCCTTCTGTTGCTGGGGCACAGCCCAGCTCTTCCATCGTCACACTGCTTGGGGAGTGCCCAGCGCATTGTTTCCAGTTCTCTACTTTGAACCCCGTTATTTGGCTTCTAAAATGTTTAACCCTCACAATCTGTCCAGTTAACTAACCAGTGAAGCCAGGCCATCAAGTAAAATCTGTAATCTGGGTTCGGGTTATCTACATCCTCGCCACAAGATGCCACCAAATAATAACAATTTCATCTCACAGAAGCATGTCTTGACAGAAAAGACAACCACTGCAACACAAATCAAGAGGAGAAGCCTGTGCCAGCATTCATGTGGATAAAGAAGATTTAGGGGAATGCATGTGGGGAGGCTTCATGTGAGATTGTTTCATGATCATACTGGACAAACTAAGTGTGGGCCCTCTTCTCTTTAAGTGTATGTTTGCATTTTGATTGAAGCCCCTTTGACCACAAACCAAAGAGAGAGCGGAGTGAGAATGAAACTAGTGGAGAGGCAGAGGGGGGGCAGCAGCTCGTCCAGAGACTGTGTTTGATGCTCCAGTGCCATTATGTTAATAGAAACTGTGCGTGGTTGGTCTCAGAGGAGCTTCCTGACACCAGCAAGAGCCTATTACCACTGTCTGTCTCACTGACATTCCCAGACTTCCTTTCAGCAGCTTGCTACCTATTCCTATCCCTCATCTTCTCCTTTGTTACTACAATTGCTTACTGCCAATGCTGTCTGTCCTACCTACCTCTTCATCTTTTTTTTGATAGAACACAGGTCTGTTCTTCTGCTTGGTAACACAATACAAACCTTAAAAAATCCCTATATATATATAATCCCTGGGCATATAACCCAGTACATGTAATTGATCATCTATGTGTTGAGGAGCGATCTTGTCTTTTTATGTGAATTACTGTCGCTGGCAGCTTCTCAAATTTGTAGAGGCAGCGGTTTAAAGTTTAGCTTTTTCTTAAACTCTGTCTCATTTGTCCATTCGTTTCTCTTTTTTTCACTCTCCCTCCACATCCCATCTCTTTCATTGTTTCCCTCAGCTCTCTTTCATCACTCTTTCCTTAACCTCTCCCAACAAGCTCACCCAGTTTGTCTCCCCCCATTAACACGTCTATCTTTCATCTGCTTCGTCATTTTCAGACTTTTACAACAGACCTGTTGGCAGAGGTCTTCATCAGACAGCAGTCAGAGATGATTTATCATATGTGCTTAGCTCTTCTACAGAACAGAAAGAGCCCTGTGGAATATTTAAGATGAGCAGGAGAATCTGCAATCATTTCGTTCTCTGATTTCATCTCACTGATCTCGAGTAAATCCAACATCCTCACTGAAACTGCAGCACAATGCGTGGACTGTAAAGTGTTGCGATACATTGAAATATTGGCCTGTAAAATCTCATTGAGTTGACGGAGCAGTGCAGAAAATCAGGAATCCTGATTCGGGTCACGTCCTGGGTTTCTGCTCTCATGGCAGGCTGTCTGCATCCAGTAGCTGATGAAAACACAGAGAACTCAGATTGGCTCTCCTCGCCTGCTGGAGAGTGAGAGGAGGCAACACGTACTGATGCTACAAGCAGATACACACATGCTGTGACACAGTGATAAAACTCAGGTCTTGACGTCAATGAGATTCCCTCAATAAACATTGTAAATGAGGGATCACCTGTGAGGGAAACCTGTCTTTCCACTCTCTGTCTAATGGTAACGAACAGCACAAACACTGGAGAGTAGTTGAAGAAATTACATCAAATTAAAGGCATGGTTATATCAGCTTATGTCCCAACTGTGAAAATAAAACAGCCTAACAAACACAACCCTGCAAATTAGTGGACAGTACATTATTTTACATCTCAGACATTTCAGCTTAGATGTAATATCACTATCAAATTTAGATTTAATATATTTTTATATAAGCAGAAATAACTGAAGCCCTGTTGACTTGTGTGCTTTCAGTATCTGAGCAGCAGCAGCTTTACAAACTGTGGTTTGATGCATTTCTTCACAATACAAATACAGAGTGCAAGTTTTTAATGAATGTGCAGATGCTTGGCAGACAAAAGTTTATTTCAGGCAGACGTGCAAAAGCTTTTTTACATCCACTTTAGTCATGCTGGAGCACATCACTGCACTGGTGCACTGGCACGTCATTACTATTTGAACAGCACATCATATTATTTGTGCAAATACAAACTCCAGTACAGACAGCTGTGTTGTCACAAGGAAAATACAACAGATTTCACCAAAAACCTGATTCCATGGTCATCAATAATGAACTAAAATGCAACAAATTTAGATCAAGTGTGTGTCAACACTGTCAGTTATTGATGTTGATTGATATATGATTAATTGGCAACTGTCTTTATAACCAATTCATGATTTGAGAAATTTTCTGGCTTTCTTCATATATGGTGCTAAGATATCAACCTACTTTTCATTCACCCACACAGTCCAACTAGTCCTCCAAAAATAAAAAGAATTGATTGTTGGCCCAACCCTCGGATATGATCTGCAGTCGGTGTCCCAGACCTTTGTTGTTATGGTAACTATAATAAACATGTGGTTAAGTTTGTGGAATGGTCACAATTTGTTTAAGTTTAGGTATAAAAACTACTTAAGTGCAGTTGCTTTTTGCAAAGAGAAGTTCAGATTGAAAAAATACAGGTTATCAGCAGAATGGAGGATTTCCCGTTACTGAATACTAAAACTGGTTGGAAGGTTGGAGGTTGAATTATATAGCACATGTTTTTTTTCCTTTCTTCTCTCCTCCATGTCTGTCTCCCTCCCCCACTGTTTCACTAATTAAATGTGAAAGGGTGAAACTTCTGGGTCATGCGTTGGTTTTTGCTGAGCCTGTTTAAGACTTAAGCTGACAACACTACACCCTCGCTGCACTTTGAGGCATCATCATCTGTATGTCCTTGTGTTGACACAGCAAGTCAAGCCTGTATATTTTATTAATGGGTGAAGCTGACAAAAGCTTTGTGGGTCATTCAGTCTTGCTGATAATGATTGTTTGCTTTGTTGTGCTCTTTGTTTTGCTTCCTTCCTTATAATTCGACATGTGTATTTCATGCACTTTCTCTCCTCCTGTCTTTCTACAGGATGACTTCCTCTTCAGTGTGTCCATAGTGAGCGGGTTCTCCTGTACTTTGCTGGCCGTGATCAAGTTCATGCTGGGGAGAGTGCTGACTAGTCGGGCACTTCTCACTGATAGTAAGATGCACGCTTACACACTCATACAGAGAGTACACAGATCACTGTCATTCATCACACAGCTCATCTGGAGCGGTACTGAGGAGTACATCACTCTTTGCTTATGGGATCAGTTTTCAGTGGAGTCAACTGTGTTGGTTTTGAAAGAGAAAAGTGTTGCCTATAAATGTCCTCTCATTTTCACCGAAGAAAGGTTTCAGAGGATCTGAATGATACAGACAGATCAACATGCTAGTGTGTGGTGGAAGAGTCAAGTGCAAGGGTGAAAGTTCAAAAACAGTCTTAACAAGACATAGGTTTGTTGCACAGAAGGTCAAAAACACAGAGCATAAAGGCAGATCCAAAAACAAAGCTGAACAAACAAAAAAAACAAAGTTTGCTGTCTTGCAAAGGATCACAATAGGAATTGCTGGCATGCTAACATGAGCAGCGGCAACACGAACACGGTATTTGTACCCAAACTAACAAGACACAGGTGAAACTAATAAGGGCGGGGTAAACAATTAGTGGGGCGGAAGGGAAGTAAAGTAATCTGAAACAAGAGGCATGGGTAGGTAACAAAATAAAACAGGAAGTAACTAAAGATATGCAAAAAACAGAAAATCATATATATATACAGTATACATACATAAAATAGTCAAAATGTTGAGATGTTGTGGTGTAAAAGCATAGACAATATTTAAAATTCAAATTAAATTAGGTGTGAAAGGTCAGGGGCAGGATTAGGATACACTAACCTCACACAGATAAAAACAGGTGTGAAAAAGAAAGCAGTATATCAAAGAATAAAACCAAAAGAGAGTATGTGTGTTCCACGGTTTGAGTTGCTTACACAACTGAATTGAAAGAAGTAATTGGTTATCACTAGCTGCTCATAGACACAAGTAAACAAAAGCACAGCATACACATTCTCACATTCACAAACACACACTGCAATAGTCAGGTTTTAGAAGGCACAACACATCAATCCAGTAAACCTGAGGTTGCTGTTCTCAGAGCCAGGATTTATTTCCCTCAAGACTGTACACTTACTGCAGGCGAGACAATAATGCACAGTACACGCTTTCACACAAGGAGAAATGTAATTATGAAAGAACATACAGGGCAACTCAAGTACAGTCAACAATTATAGAAGTCTGTATGGACATTCATATTTAAGAGGTTTCACAAATGTTCGTCATTTGCTACCTGCATGCTACAGGTCTGTTTAAAGGACTACTGCCACCATTTGGAAATAAAACTATTTTTTCTGTGAGATTATTCATACCACTCTCATGTCTGTAACTTAGTTCTTTTGAAAGAGCAGGAATGGGCTCATATTTTCCACATTTTGTGTGTTGCAGGCTTTAACTCCATGGTTGGAGCTGTCATGGGATTTTCCATTCTGGTCAGCGCTGAAGTCTACAGGCAGCATCCTGATGTCTGGTACCTGGATGGAACCATCGGCGTTCTCATTGGACTCATCATTTTGGCATACGGTGTCAAGTAAGCGACAAACTAGCAATGGTCCTCTACATTTGTTTGACATATTTCATTGTTTCTGCCAAGTGCATTCCAGTGCCATCCTATTCTATTAATTCTATTAAAGCCAGATTTACATGTGATCTTGAGAGCTTTGTGTTAGCTTGGGTGACGAGTGCCAAAACTGGCTACAATTCTCACAAGTTGTCATTTGTGCTTTTTCACTTTCCAATGAGATCATGCTTCTGTCTCCACAGACTCCTGAAGGACATGGTGCCCCGTGTAAGGCAGACAAGGAACTATGAACGCTTTGAGTGAGAGTGTTGACCAAAAGAGCAATGCTACACACACACACACACACACACACACCCTGACTGCCTCTTGTTCTCTTCCCTCATCTCTGTCTTTCTAGTCACTAATGCGTAACTTCTGAACAACAGATGGACGTTGCACACACATGTTCTTAAACACATGCATACAGTAAACGAACATGCCGTATTTACCGCAGATAGCACAATAATACACACACAGACATACACAAAGTCTGAGAGACTTTGAGGGAAAAGGACATGATTGAAGAACTTCTCCTGGTAAGACTTGGAAAGCCCCTTAGTTCAAGTCTTCTTTTCCACTCTTCTTCACTTTTGATCCATGAAACCATAAAAAAAAATCACTCAAAGAATGAGTAAAACACTCAAACACCAACAAGAGTAATTGTTTTTTTCGGCCTGTAAAATACAGTAGGTGCTGCTAAGATGCTGTAAACAGACATAGCTAAACTTTATGTTAAGCTGCCCACTAATTTATCAGATTATTATTGTTATTATTATTTTCAGTTATAATTAAGTACAGCGGTTCCTTTACTGAAACCCAAAAGAGAAGCAGTCAACACCTCACCAGCCTCCTCTTTTCAATGCAGCCACTATACATCGTAATTTGTTCCTGAGAGAAAGAGAGAGGGAGTGGAAAAGAGAGAGAAAGCGCCTCTGCTGAGTCGGCAGCGCTGTCTCTGAAAGGTGAAAAGCAGTGGTGTACGTGGTGAGGTCAGCCTTGGTCTAAATCCCCTGGGACTAAAATCAACAGTTGAGTCTCTCAACGACACATATTTGACTATGGCAGGAAACCTGATTGCACAAAGTTGACGTTATTTATATTGCACAACCTGCTGCACTGTACAGTGTGTGATGTGTCCAATCACAAATTAGCAACATTTCCCCAGTTTTTGCTACCAGTTTAGCTCAGTGCCCAGAAAAAAAAAATACTTAGCCACCAAATGAATTCAGGGTAATTAGCTGTTTTGTCTAAATGGCTGTAATGTATCCTCCTCACACATACATACATAGTCTTTTGATTTGTTTACATACACAAACACATACCTTGGTTAGTTATTTACTGTAATACATAATCAAAAATGTTTTACTTGAAATCTAAAGTGACATGACAAAGTTTTACCAGTTAATGGCACATGTTTTTATAAGGGTGAGATGGGAAA